AGAAAAAATTTGAGAAAAGGAAAAAAATGGAAACAAAGTCTTTGCAAATAGGGAAGGGTGGAGGGGGTGAAGGGGGGGCAAGGGAAGGGGAAAAATATAAGAACAAAGACACACATGTAAAGGTACAAGATCCCAATGATGAATGTAACTATATTTTATACCCAAAATATACCAATAAACTTAATGGGGAAAAAAAATCAGCATCACTTCATGATAAATATCCTGATGAAAATGCATATAGAAGGACCTTACCTCAAAATGGTAAAAACCATATGTGACAAATTCATAGCTAATATCATACTTAACAGGGAAATTGAAAGCATACTTTCTAAAATCAGAAACAAAACAAGGGTATCCACTTTCACCATCTCTGCTCAATATAGTACTCAAAACTTCAGTCAGAGCAATCAAGCAAAAGAAATGGGATGCAAATAGGAAAGGAAGAAGCTTGTTATTCTATTATCTATTTGCAGATGATAGGACACTCTAAATAGAGGACCCAAAAAACACCACCAGATAACTCTTAAGCTTATAAAAAAATTCAGTGAAGTTACAGGAAACAAATCAATGGTGTTTCTATATACCAATAATGAGCCTACTGAGAAAGAAATCAGGAAAACAATTCTATTAATGATAGCTTTAAAAAATTAAATACCTAGGAATTAACCTGACTAAGGGGATGACAGACTTTTATAATGAAAACTATGTAACTGAAGAAAGACTGAAGGAGACATAAAAAAATGGAAAGTCTTCCTCTTCTTAGGCAGAATATCAATTAAATGGCCATATTACCAAAAGTGATCTATAGATTTAATGCATCTCATTAAAGTATCAACAACATTCTTCACTGGGCTATTAAAGTAATTCTAAAATTTATATGGAAACAGAAGATACCCAGAATAGCCCAAGCAATCCTAAGCAAGAAGAGCAAAGTGGGAGGCATTACAATTCCAGATTTCAAGTTATACTATAAAACTATCCTTTAAAAAGTCTAATTTTCTTTTCTCTATTTTTGGACCATTGACTTTTTTAATCCTTAATTTTTTTCTGTTTAGATAAATAGTACTTTTTTTTTTTTTAAGGTTATGTTTGTGGCCCCAAGATTCAACACGGGAATGTTAGAGAAGAAAATGTATGATTGTCTTTGTTCCCCAAGTACAGCAACATGTACTTACTCATCAAAGTTGAGGGTATTTGTCCAGTTCAGCACTTCATCCACTTCCCATTCCATCACAGAATCTATCCCACCATCTTCCATGGTTCTTATGAGCCCTTTTGTTGCTGTATGGATTAAGCCTATAGTTTCATAATGAGTTGACTTAGCCTGCAGGCTTCCTGCATAACCTAAATAGAAGAGAAGGGACAGAAATCCTTTCAGTAGGTGATTAGAAGTACATGCAGTTGGGCTGGGGATTTAGCTCAGTGGTTTCGCCGCCTGCTGCTGTGCAAGTGCAAGGACCCAAGTTCGATCCCTGGCACCAAAAAAAAAAAAAAAAGAAGTACATGCAGTTGATAAATACTGGTGCCATTTATGGGTTGAAACTATACATTGTCAGGTTTTCAACTTGTAACTCAGATGCATCTAAACCAAGACCCATGTGATGGAATATTGGAGAGGGGGCAAAGTAACCACATTAACCAGAAAGCCCTCTCTTAAAAATTACCTGTCCTTAACTTGCATTTTAAAAAATTTATTTTTATTAGTGCCTATTAATTTTACAAAATACTGTTTTAATGTGGCATATTCAAACATACATATATGTTGATCATATCAATCCCTTCATTAGTCTCCCTTATACTCCGCCCCCATTCCTTTCCTCTTGTCTACTAATGGTCTTCTACATTTCTGTCATTTTTTTTAGATTCTGCATACTAGAACATATTCTTGTCTGACTCTGGCTTATTTTGCTTAACATGATGATCTCCAGTCCCTTCCACTTGCCTTCAAGAGACAAAATTTCATTCTTTCTGGCTGAATAAACTCCATTGTGTATCTATACCATTTTTTTAATCCATTCATCTGTTGATAGGCACCTTGGCTTGTACCATATCTTAGCTATTGTGAACTATGCCGCAATAATGCAGATAGCCCTGTAGATCGACTTTACTTCCTTCTGTTATATACCAAGGAGTGGTATAGCTGAATCAAATTGTAGCTCTATTTTTAGTTGCTTGAGGAAACTCCATAGTGATTTCCATAGTGGCTATACTAATTTACATTCCTACCAGCAGTGTAGAAGGTCCCCCACACACATACACCTCACTTTCTCACTAGCATTTCTTTTCACTTTGAAGTACATAGGGACTGCAATCTTCACAGGGAGTCAGTATATGTACGTAACACATCTTTTTTTATTCCCTTACTCTCCAAGTCCCTCCTCCCTTTAGTCTCCTTCTCTTTTGCAGTAGATCTTTCTTTTTCCTAAGGTCTATTTTGATCTTTATATTTTGGCATCTCATATAACAGAAACCATAAGATATTTAAGCTTGTGTGTCTGATTTATTTCACTTAATATTATGGTCTCAAAGTGCATCCATTTTCCTACAAATGACTCAAGTTTATCCTTTATAGCAGAGTAGTACTCCATTGTGAATAAGTGCCACATTTTCATCTGTTCATCTGTTAATGGACATATAGGCTGCTTCCAAGATTTAGCTGTTATGAACTGTGCTGGTATAAATATGGGAAGCAGAGAGTGATAAAAGGAGTGGGGAGGGAGAGAGACCTTGCCAGACTACACCCCACAGTGATCCACTTCCTCTGACAGTGCTTCACCTTCTAACATCACATTGAGACATAAACTCATCAGTGGATGAATCCATTGATAAGCAGCACACCCCCATGATCCAAACACCTCTCAAAAGCCCCACCTATGAGTGTATGAGGCTTGGGGGGACATCTAGATATAAACCATAACATTGAGTATATAAAAGATATATAGGACACATCAAAAAGTAGTGTCTAGTCTTGGGGATGTGGCTCAGTGGTGCTATGCCTGCCTGGAAAACACAAGGTCCTGAGTTCAATTACCTGTACAGAAGAAAAAAGTAGTGTCTAATCTAGGTAGATCAGAGAAGGTTTTAGAAGGAGATATTTGAGCCAAGTGGGAAGGCCCTAAATTCAATCCCACTACTCCAAGAGTGGGAGGTGCCAGGTGTGGACTGTTACTCCTTTTCAAGGTAGATGGTACAGGGTACAGCAACTACTTGATTCAGTTGAGAAAGGATATCTCAAATGTCTGTAAGCTTCAGATATGTGGTAGACTCCTAACTTTTTGCAAAGTTTACTGTTCTTTTTCTAGTGTATATCTGTCCTACTCAGTTACCCAGGGAGCTTATATTCTGCTCACTGTGCTCAGTTAGTGCAAGGTCATCAACATGATAGATATGATGTTCTGCACGAATCAAGATATGCAAGCTCTTAGGCATGAGAGCAGGAAAAGTGATATAGTTCTGAGCATAAGAGGTAAAGACACATTCTGTTCTTCCCATGTAAATGCAAACTCCTTTTCAGTTAGTGATTTGGATGGGAAAAAAAAACCATTTGTCAGATCAGTAGTGGCATAACTAGCACCAAGGGCTGCATTGATTTGCTCTGTTAAAGAGGTCACATCTAGAAGCTTAATGGCAGTTATGTCTACCCGACCTATATACTTCAAAGTTCCATTATTCCCAGTGATTTAAAGCTGCAGTCCCCAACTTTTTGGCACCAGGGACTGGTTTCTTGGAAGATAATTTTTCTACAGACTATGGAGGAGGTTTCTGTTTTTATTAATGTGCATTTGCAATACATAATAATTATACTCTCCAGCACTAGCATTACTGCCTCATCTCCATGTCAGATCATCAGCCATTAGATTGTCATAAGGACTACACAACCTGGATCCTTGCACATGCAGTTTGCAGTAGGGCCTATGCTCCTATGAGAATCTAATGGCACTGCTGGTCTGCTGTGGAGCTCAGGTGGTAATGTGAGCAGTGAGGAGCAGCTATAAATACAGCTCACCACTTGTTTCCTGCTGTGTATCCCCATCCTCACAGGCTGCTACTGGTTCTGATCCAGGGCCTGGTGACTGAGGACCCTTGATCTGTTTGTTTTTTTGGTACTGGGGATCGAACTCAGGACCTTGTGCTTGCAAGGCAGGTGGTGGAACCACTGAGCTAAATCCCTGGCCCTGGGGACCCTTGATCTGAATGAACCAGTTCCATCACTGCTTTCCCCACCATCTTCTCCATACTATAAAGGACAGAATTTACAAGAATTCTGCTGTTCCCCTCAACAACCCATTTATTAATAACGTGATGAACAGGGTATAATCTGCAAGCTCCTAGGGATATGGCTAGCAGAAGGCTAAGTAAATTGCACATAATAGAAACATACACTTATAGTCTTAAGATGCCTATTTCTACAGTATACTGAGGACATTCAGTCATTTTACAATGGTAGAAATTGACTGAGTTCAGGCTTTTAGTAACAGACCCAACAGATACCATTTCTGAATATTCAAGCCAACACTTTAAATCTGTAATTCCTGATGAGTGTGGCTGTGTCCATAAGTTCAGCCCAAGCAACACTTGAGCTAACAACCTTAGAATCCACCCTCACATAGAGCTTCTAAGGCTCCTGATAATATAATGGTAAATTCTTGTAACTTTCAATTTATAAGCTATATACAATTAGAGAAGACCCTATACCTCCCTGTCTGGACTGTCCTGAGATACAACTCTTATTGTGAGCTAGAGTCCATAAGAGAGGGTGTAGGGGAAACCTGAGGAGAATCAGTGTGAGCTTCTGTGGCAGGGCACTAGTAGTCACTGAAAACATTTTATGCAGGAGTGAGCTGCTTCTTTCCTTAAAAAGGGCAACAAAGTTTTCCTCCACTACCAAGGTTGTTTGGAAGCTTAAGGTTCTTAGCTTTGTCTTCTCAAAGGACTCATCCTAAGCCTCAGGATTCTACTTTTTCCTCACTATCACCCTTGTTCTAGTGCAAAAGACCTGGCAGGTTTGAGTACTTGGTTGCACTTTAGCCACAATTGAACCATAAGCCTGGTAGTTGGGCTGTGCTTCAACTCACACTGCACCTGAAGGAGATGAAGAACTACTTCAAAGCTGCTTTGAAGATCCTGATTACCCACAAAATTTTTTAAATGTTACAACAAAACATTGCTCCCAGCACAGAGAAGGAAGCTTCTTGGTCACCATA